CGATTAAGCATCATGAGTTGGAGGGTGGTTCCCTATTATTATTATTATTATTATTTATTTATTTATTTATTTATTTATTTTGCTGGGAGTTTGGAACCCTATTAGTTAGGTTGCTTACTCTTTAAAATACCAGAATAAGGAGGATGGAGTAGGTTTAAGTTTATTAGATTAATCAGTGTTGCTGAACTATGAAATATTTTGGGTTCAGTGTATGTTTTGCATACAGGTGTAACAGAATAGCTTTAGTGTTTTGTTTTTGTTTTGAGTATGAACTTATACAAAATGCAGCAAGATATTAAAAACAGTTTTATTGATTAAAAAACACACTATATCGGATTCATATCGGTATTAGCCAATATCCAAATTTATGATATCGGTATCGGCATCGGACATAAAAAAGTCATATCGTGTCACCTCTACTACTAATTATTTTAGCCATTTACCTCAGCATGACATGGGGATTAATGGGAAGACTTAGAACAAGTTATTAGTGAGATACTCAATGATAACATTTCAGCATATATTTATAATAACTTTTTAGACAGTATTTGTCTTTAGACCACAGTTACTCCAATTACCTTGCAGCTTCTGTTTGTTTGCTTTGAGATGATGATGGTTTCCTCTTTCTCTGCACAGTGGCTATCCAGTGCTTCTAATATTTGCAGAAAATAACTTCCCTTGTTTGGTTCTCTGATGCATGTAGTGGAAGACCTTTGCTGTCCTTGGTACTTTTTAAAACCCTCTGTATTACACCGACATGGCATGTTTCTGGTGCATCTTCTTGTGCTACTATCTTGCAGGTCTAGTATGTTATTAGTTTGCAGTGCATAAGCAAGTGCCTCATTATATACTATTGTTCCATCCTCTGCGCAGTAGTTTTTTTAAAGACTCCCAAATCCACTGCTGACATTCTGATCCCTGTTCCTTGAAATCTAATCAATACAGCATTGTGTTGGATTGGAAACTTGAGGCCGTGTCTACAAGAATCTATTGATCGCTCTCCTTTTGTGCAGTTCCCTCTGTCTTTGCTGCCCCAGCTCTTCCGTTCAGGCCCGGATCAAAGGTTTTATCCTTCAGCGACGTTCAAGGTGTACAGTTCCACGCCAAGGTCTACTTTTCTGATCTGGGAGAAGGACTTGGTCAGTTGGGGGTTTGTGTTTTCATTGACCTTGTCTCTTCCCTGTGCTGCTGACATTTTTAGTATAACATGTGCAAATACATGTTTAGTTAAAAATAGATGGATTTCGGGAGGTTTGGGAGAAAAAGCAAGACTCACGGAAAATCCCTCTACATTGTGGAAGAAAGATTATTCTGATTCCGTGGTACCTGTCAGCTCATATTGTAAAATGTACTATATTATGCAGCAGAGATGAAACCCAGTACAGATTTAATCCTCAAGGCAAGGTCAAGAGAACACCTTTATATTCCAAGTATGTAGAGCTCTTTATCTTTTGCTTTAACATGCCAAGCAAGCTTTTTAAATTTTTTCCTAACCGTGCAGCGGCATGTCAGCTGGCCACTTAATTCACCACACTGTTTCAAAAATGACTGATCCAGCTGTGGGCTATTGGCAGAATAATTCTAACAGCAGCCATATCATCAGGTTGCCAGTCCAATCGCTGGCTGCCGCACCATGGGCCAAGAAAATCATTTAGTTAAAGGTGACCAGATTTGAGTCCCTCTGAGAGGTCTTTGATTGGATGTGAAGTGGAGGGGTGATTCATCATAGTTAATAAACGTGGTTGACAGCTCAAATCAGTGGGTGGGAGCATGTGCCAGGTCTGCCTCCCGCTGCTGCTTTATACTGCATGCAAAAATGGACAATTAACTTTTCACATACACAGCAGCAGACACCTACGCTGATTGTTATACACGGCTATGTGTGCACATCCAGTCAAGCAAGACTCGCAAGCAAAAATTGCACTGCAAAAATATAGCTTAAACTGCACAAGTTGGGAAAGATCAGTTTTCAAGAAAGAGTTGCGTGGGGCGGGGGGGTTGAAAGACTCTTTTATGCAGCGTGAACACCCTTTTTAGCCTCGTATAACAGTACACGTTAAAATAAACTTGAGCAGATGTTGCTTGCTGGAAGTGTAAATTGCATATATTTCTCTGAACCTAATACTACATGCCTAAAGATTTAGAAAAGTTCTCCACTTTTCAAATTTCACTTGGGTATTTGTATCCGTAGTGGAAGACTTGGTCTTCTCTGTCCCAATTTGGCTCTTGAACTAAAGAATTTGTCATGGTCTCCGTGCCTGCCCGGTCGGCCCCACAAGGCTACAATTGCTGTTTCTGTTCTCTCCCTCTCTGCCTGGGCGGAGCTCACTGTGGGCTCCTGCCCTTGGCCCACACACACACCTGACAACACTCACCCATCATCACCGGGAGCACTATTTGAGGCTGGAACACAGATCCTCTCGTCGCTGGATGATTGTACCCCTAACGTTAGTGTTCTCACAGCTCTTGTGCTTCATATTCGTGATTTGTGATTAGTTGGTGACCTGCCTTCTCGTCTGCCTCAGATCTCCCCCCCGGGACCTGCGACCTCCCTGCTGCGGGAACGTGTGTGAGTGTGAGCGAAGAAGACGTGAGCGAGTTACCCTGTGATTCCCCCGGAGTTTTGGATCCCTTCACTGTACATATATTGCACTGGCACTGTAAATAAACTACACCTTGGAGATACCTTACCGCTCTGCGTTTGAATCCCTGTACCAGATCGTGACAGAATTAGTAAGTTTACAGAGCCCGCTGTTGTAAAGGAACGCTGTGCTCTTCATTATGAAACGCAGACTCTTTAGCAAAATAAATGCAAAAATTATTCATTTTTACAAATGTGATTAATTACCCAACCCAATGCTCAATGAGTGTAGCTAGATTCTTTTTCATAGAGGAGTCGGATACCTCTCATGGTCTATAGTCTGGCTTATTTTGACTTTCAGTCATTTAAATACTTTTAAAACTCTTCCAAAATTTAAGCCAATTTCAACCTAAATGTGTCCCCAAATCAGCGCTCACAGAGTTGCCTGCTCCTACCTTTAATATTGCGTCACTCACCATGCTCAAATACATTTAAACAATGTTTTAAATCGTTCAGGATAAAATTGATTTAATACAGTGTAGTTAATAATGATGTGTTATAATCACATTGTGTTTCGCTCAGCTGGCTGAGGCGTGACTGACCACTGGCAGGTGTGCCAAAGCTGCGGCCTTGTGTTAAGCTGCTGCTCTAAGCCCTCGGCTGCACACAGTCAACTCGCAGGATTAACTCGCCTCGGCTCCAGCCGTCAGGGCTTCCACTTGTGTCGGTGTGTCTTAATGGAATTTCATACTCTCCCAAAGCAAATGGGACTGCAATGAGCTATACCATTTCATTCTTTTATAGGAGTGGATTTGTAAAGTTATTCTGCTTCCATTGCTCGAAATCTTTGGAATGTTTGACCTCTTATGGACTTGTTTAAATCCAAGAATGGCTTTTAGGAATTATTTTAGTAATTATGCGGTGACTTTTCTTTGTTTTTATCTTTGAGGGAGGGCAGCATCACACTGTACTGTACGAAACCACTGGTGTTACTTTAGTATTTGCACTGTATGTATGTGTTTTCTCCAAAACCAGTCCAACAGTTGATTTGGAGAGGTTTAATTTGCAAACTCATTAAAAGTCACGGTCCTACTTTTTTGTTTTTCAAATCCTGAGTATTATTGTCATCTTATTCTGTTTGCATCTTGCAGTAGTTGCACTTATTAGTAGTAAGCTGGTTGTGATGATCATGCACATCTTCTCAGCTAGCTGTGAAACCTGTAGTGTAGTGATATCTTTTCTCAATAGTCTAAAGTCTCTATTTCTACTAAACTTTTTGCTTCAGAGTAGCACGGCAGTACAAATTTCCTTTCCACGCTCTGTACACATTTTCATTTCCCCATTGGTCAATTGGAAAAGGAATTTACACTCGCCCCCCTGTGATCGTGTTTGTCAACAGCCACAGCACGTCTGATTAAAGCTGTGTCTCTAACTAACAAACAGCTGTCTTTGGAGAATAATAGCTTTGCCCCTTTTCTCTCTCCTTTCTCCCTTTGTGCTTCTCCTTTTGATCACAGAACAGCAGCATCCCTGAAAAGCAAACACAGCCTTAAACAGACACACATAACCAAGAACTGAGAGTGCACCCCCCCACTCCCACGCACACACACACATGCACACAAATGTTGGGGAATGCATGCACCCGCTGGCACCCATACACACACAGACAAGCATCCAGCTGAGCTCTTGTTCTGTCTGAGTCTTTGCTCTCCATGATGTTAAATGAGGGCATTGATACATAAATTTGCATTTGTTTCATCCACAACCGTTCCTCTAACGAAAACTCCATAACTGCGTGCCCCCAATTTTCCAGGCAGTGTCAGATTCTTCCTTTCTTGACTTGTTTAATTGTCAGGCTAATGTGATTGTTTGATTTCATTTGGTTTTATGTACACCTCTTCATTTATAAGTTAGCCAAAGAGTGATCCCCACCAACACAACTGTGCACTTTGTCGATTGGTAGTATGGGTAAAAACCAGCCAATTGTTCCTTAGTCACATAGATGTCAGTCGTGGAGCTTGCTGCGATCCCTCTGAGCAGGTACAGAGCAGCATCTGGACCAGCTGTGATTACCTTGATTAAAGAGCTTCTTCTTTCTGTTGCCTGCAGATAAGAACTATACTCCCTCAGTGATGTGACAGGCTACAGTTCCTCTTTCCTTATTCTCTTCTGTAGCACACTAAGCTGTCCTAGACTTCTTCCTTTTGTAAAACCTAGCATCACAAGACGCCTGGCTCCTTTGTGCCCCTTCTTCCTACCTAGAAAACACCCTGAATGATGTGAATGCTCACTTCTGGTTCTTGTTCTCCTTTTCCCTTTGCTCTGTAAGCTTCCCTTTTATCATCTTGACCTCCCTGTGACCTTTGTGAACCCTGATGGATGTTGATTGGTGGTCCTGAATGAAGCACATCTCTTACAGAGGGTGGGGAACCTTGGAGCACCTCTGCCACTTCGGCTCTGGGCAGGGGGGGCACCCAGGGCAGGTTTTCCCAGGGCAGAGAGCCTGCTCTGGGCAGAGGGAGCCCTTCCTCCACGGAACTTCAGGATCCCAGTAGAAACAGGAGAGCTCATCCCAATTGGGCCATTCTGGGTAATGAAATAGAGTTGTGTGTGTGTTTGATCATGCATGATGTTTTCTAGAGATAAAGTAAGAGTGTTTTCAGTTTGTGATGTTAAAACACTGTGAAAATAGTAGCAGCAGCAGTCGTGGTTGCACAACTTCAGGGTTTATCTGTCATCTAATGAGGTTTCATATTTAAAAAACTAAATTTGATTGTAGTTTAAGTTTATTACGGGAGCCTGACTACATTACATCACTCTTGATTTGCCTCATTTTGCAAATTATTAAATGTCATCTTTGTGTATACCCATGAGACTACATGTTTGAATGTTTTTTTGCACTTACCACAGGGAACCATATCTAAACCAAACAAAAACTAAGATGTTCTCGGTGTCTCGTAGTTCGTATTTTTATTTAATGTAAAAATATAATAGAATATAATCAATTTTACTCTGTTATATGAGACTTAACAGATCCAAGGAAAATTGACTTTAAGATATTAATACTGATTTCATCCACACTGGTGAGTGATTATGCCAGTTATAGAATTCACTCGGGACCATATGAGAGAGGTGTCAGTCCAGTCTGTCCGTCTCTCTGCTTAGTCAGCTGTGTCAGGAAGAGCTGACATGTCCTTCGGAAGAACTTCCACAACAGATGGAAAACCCAGGAGAAGATATGGGTAGGGATGGGGAGGTGGCAGAAGCCAGTGAGAAGTGGGAGGGCTGAAAGAAGAAGAGGATGTGTCATATTTTGATATTCCCACTGTGCCATTTTGGCTTATGAATTTCCATTTTAGAGGGCAGTCAATGTCTGTGACTGCTACATTAGTTTTATGGCCTAAAACAGCTTATTGCAGGCAGCGCCAATGTATATGCGAAATATTTCATTTTGCATCAGAGCCTGCTGAAAAGTTACTTTGCTAAGAACGAATTTGCAATTCACCGCATTTTGGAGTAAATATCCACCCGGAGTGCATATGTACTCACAAATATAGCCACGTGTCATGCTAATAGATTGTCTGGCTGGACTGGAAATCATGATCATTTATTACTGACACCATCACGTGTGGGTGCACATCTGTGTGCTTGCACAACTAACCAGAGACGTACACTCACTGGCAAATACACATACCCGCTCCAAGTCTTGCTGTAGGGGGATAACGGCAACGAGCTGAATGAGGCTGAATCATGCTGAATTGTGTGTTCTGACTAAAACCTCAGGGGCAGTATGCATCTTCTCTCTCTCCTCTTTCCTCTCCTGATTTCAGCAGGACTTTTCAGTCCACTGGCTTTTATGCACGCATTAAGAGAAGTACGACATTTGAATGAGCAGTGAAGTGCTACCTGTGTCTGCATTTGAGAGCTTCCTGACTTGTTTCCTTTGTAACAGAAAAATGAATGTCTGCATGAGATGCAGAACTGCAACATCACCAGGCTGAAAGAAGTAAATGACCAGAGTGGTAACTTGTTAAGCCATGTTGAGTAATTCACGTTATTATACATAATTCACACTGTGTTACAATTTTTGCAGTGTTTAGAATTGTTTTTCAGCCTTGAGTAAAGTTTGTCTGTTTTTCCCTCTTAATCTGTGCTTCAGCATCTGACCTTAAAATACAGCCCTACAGCTAGAATCACAATGAGCTGCACCGGTCAAGTAAGCCGACACACACACATGAGAACTCTTACTTTTGTAAAGAGGTCTCAGCATAGGAGCAAACTTGGAGGAAGATGTTAACACGTAAGAGTTCTGCTTGACTACAGAGTACACTGAAGGAAGCTGCTAGTTCCATGGCATTGTTCATGCTCTGCTAAAAGAGACACTATAGAGCATGGATGTCAAAGTCATTTTACATTGTGAAGACCAGTGAAACTCCCCTTTCTGTCAGTGTTTTAAGGAATTTAACTGAGGGAGTCAATGCGTGGTAACAGCATGTCTGTTTTTCTACATGGTAAATAAATCCTTGTATAGTAAATGGAAGAAATCTGTCAGCACAGCACTTTGGGACTAAACTGTGACCAATAAAAGTGTAAAATTACAGAAAAAGTAACAGCCAAAACTGTTTTGTAATAATGAAACTAAGTAAATAATAATGTTTTTGCATGATTTTTTTCCCCATTCTTTTTTTTTTTTTTTTTTTTTTTTTTTTTTAACGATATGGACCAACTTTAAAATATAGACATTTCTATTGTAGATGGTGAAAAATCAGACTGTCATCTATTCCTTAATGACTTTTCTAAAGCCATCCCGTGAGCTGGATTGGAGTCTTTCTGGGGCCCAGTGCTGGCACCCCGACTTCAGTAGCACTAATATAACGAAATGCTCAGAAAAAAGGTGGCTCTCTGTATAAATACTTTTGTTGCATATTCAGCTATGTGTACATCAAAATAGTTCTAAAAGCTTTATGGTTGTAGTTTGTTGTTCTTATGGTGGTCAGAGGGCCCGGTGGCGCCAGTGTCCGGCAGCCTCGCCTCTGTCAGTGCGCCCCAGGGTGGCTGTGGCGACAGTGTAGCTTGCCATCACCAGTTTGTGAATGTGTGTGTGAATGGGTGGATGACTGGATGTGTAAAGCGCTTTGGGGTCCTTAGGGACTAGTAAAGCACTATATAAATACAGGCCATTTACCATTTACCATTTGTTCAGTTTGTAATGAACTTATTGAGTGGTCAGTAGTAATGGGTACTGACCAATCATGTTTAAGTGGGCTTTGGTTGCATGCCAGTAAACAATCCATGTGAAGAGCAAAAGCAGGAGAACATTTGTGATGCTACATGTGAAAACCAGGGTTTTTTGTTTGTTAAGTTTTTAAAACAAAAACTATACTTCATATATTTATCTTTGTTTATTTTCTATGGATTTTTTACATAAAGATGTCAAACTGTGTTCGTAAATGATCAAACTTTGCATTAGGGTTACAAGAAGCCATCACAATCACAATCCGCACGGCGTTATCGCGCAGGCTAAATGCACAAATGTCACCAGCATCATTAAGGAGGCAGATTTCACTGGCTGACTGGGCTGCACCCATGTGTCGTGTGTGGCCACGCTGAGTGAGGGTTTATCCTCTCGTAGACGAAAGGTTTGTTTGATGAGGATTTGGAGCCAGATCGTATGTTTTTAATGTCACGCATAAGAAACTATTCAATAAACCCCCTTTCTCAGACATAGATTTGAGAGATCTTGCGGACGGTGAAGTTAAGATAACAAACACAGGAAATATTGGAACGTCTGGTTGCTCTTGATTGGGCGATTGCTTGGCTGTTGTTTTACACAGCTGCGGTTCTCGGTCTGTGTCTATGGCTACTGGCTATTGCCTGACTATAATTTAGCTTTTTCATACATTTCTACGTTTTTGTAAACACTGATCAGTGCATGGGACAGGAAGTCTTGGCCCATATATCTGGTGAGAACAGCAGAAGCTCTAAAATATTGGGCTGCATGCCCAGAGTCATCAAACAATAGATGATGTGTTTCCCGACTGAAGATGATGTAAATGTATGTACATTTCTTAACTGTGTCTCACAGCTTTGTAGCACTTTCAAATGGGCACAACTGCTCCATCTCATTCTTTAGACACTTTTACTTTGACAAAGTGTCTCAGAGAGACGTGTATGCAAAGGTTTATACTCTCTCTCTCTGTGTGTGTGTGTGTGTGTGTGTGTGTGTGTGTGTGTGTGTGTGTGTGTGTGTGTGTGTGTGTGTGTGTGTGAGACAGACAGAGTGAGTATTTATGTCTGTGCATCCTCAGGGATGCTGGTGTTCAGATTAATTAAAAACTTCAATCCCTCTGTTCTCTGACAGGAATATGGATGCGGCTGAGGGCTTAACTGTAAATACCGTTTCTCCAAAATTGTCATTTAAAAAGATTCATCATCTCAGGTAATAATTGTCGTTTATGGTCCTGCAGCGAGGATTTGAAAAGGAGAAATAAACGGACTTTGTGAACTGACTTTTCATTTCTCCTGTAAGACACAGTTGTTTCAAGTCAAACATGACTTGGTTACTTTAGTTTTAATTTTTATACATGCCTTTGACAAAGAAGGCCGTACTGTGTAAACTGTCCCTCCATTTCATCATTAGTCTTTGAAAAATGGATTAATGAGGTATAACGGCTTAAAGAAATTAAATGACAAAGAAGAAATTAAGCAACAAAATAAGCATGGTAAAAAAATTGATTAAACATAAATATTGCCCTCAGTAAGACAGCTGGGTATGTTAGCCCAAGGGAGACCAGCTGCTCTGATATCAAACATTAAAAGATTATCATTAAAAATGTATGTCAGACAACCTTAAATGTCACAATCAGGCCTGCCATTAGATTAGATCAGCTCAGAGTTCAAAAGTGTCATCTCAGTGAAGACTTTCTAACCACACCACACTTTTAACTGAATGTGAAAAGGTGGTTTAGTGATGCAACCATTTGGATGCATGACACCAGTGTTTCACTGCATCAACCACCTTGAGGATTTCTTTCTTGTCCCCAAATGCTGTCATGTGAAGAGCAGCCAAGTGTCAGATTCAAAACACAGCCGTCGGCTAGCAACTTCACTCTGGGCCTTTTTGTTCTTGTTCTTTTCAGGCAGGTCAGAATGCTTATGCTGCGAACTGTTCAACTTCACCGAAAGCGATATGAGAGGGTTTCTTTTGCAAAAAAACACATCACCAAAAGAGGTTGAGTTGTGCAGTTCCCAGGGAGGAAGAAGGAGAAAGAAGGTGAGAGGAGAAAGTTGGAAAAGTCGAGTGTTAGTTCACAGTGTAGTCACAAATAACAAGCCCAGAGACTTTTAATAATTCTTGAAGCAGTTTTAGACATTCTCGCTGGTATATGAGTCCAATTTTGAGAAAGTGGCTCTCAACATCAGTCTATTCTTTCAGTGGTTTAAGCTCGACTTTCAGTCAGTTTCAGACAACTTGAAGTGTTTAACATTGCAGTGTTTTACCTTGACTTTGTGATTGGAGCAATGATCACCACTCTCTCTAATACAGTGCTATCCTTTTCCTCAAGTTTTGAAAAACAAAACACTGATTTG